GCTACGGATACGACGCGGCGGCCGCACGGCCACGGCCTGACGCCGCCACAGCCCCGGCATCAGCACCGACCCCCGCCCCGGCCCTTCCCGACCCCGGCCCGCCGACGACATGACTGAGGTGAGCGCCTCCAGATTCCCCGCCTGTCTGTTGGACAGCGCGAACGCTGTACCTCAGAATAAGCCCAGTCATCTGTATATAATCTGTATCTATATACCATGTTGATGCGTCAAGTTACTTCTGTGAGCAGAGTTCAGTTAGATCCTCAGTTGAAAGTATGAGCAATTAGGCTCCTTGTACATAGGCAGTAATAACACTTAAATTTCAGGAACATCTGCTACTTTTAAGATCATGGGTATGAGTCACCCCCCACCTTCCCCGTCACCCCCCAGCCCAGTATGCCATTGTTGCACTTCTTTTAACTCAATTTATGATCGCAAACATAAATGAGATCAAAACTGAAGGTTTGATGTTGGAGAGGAGGATGAAATAAGAAGAAACCTAAATTCTTTACCACAAGCGCCAGAGCAAGTTTGAGGGGGTTGCATACCAAAGTTTGGCTGTGCTGTGTAGACCGCCCTTCCACAATGACAGCAGCATGAGTTTTAATAGTCAAGTTGCCTTTGCTATTTTCACATTAAAGTTTTGGACACAGAAAAAAATCTAAAATCAGAGCCTTGCCAAGGAGAGGGGATTTGGAGCCTGCCTCAGTGTGTCGTGTGGCCTGATCTTTCTTTCAAGTTGCAAGGGTCTGGTTTTTTTCCTTTTAATTACAAGTTTTCCAGGTAGTGTGAAGTTATGTACTCCTCCGTCCCCCAAAAAGCCAATGACACAAATGAAATGTGTTGTTTTGCTCTCAGAATTGTCCTTTCTTTTAGAGTTTTGGAAATTCTTGCCTTTAAACTGTGTTCAAATCGTGAGTAGAGGCCTGAACCATTTCTGAGATAGCAATCCATTGGTTTTGGGAGGGAGATACGAGGGCAGATTTCTAAGGCTGTGAGAGCTGTGCATCTCATTGCCTCTCCTCTGTGAGGGTAACTCACCATACATCCATGACTGGTGCTAACAGGAGTGCTGTTTTCCTATCCAAGTGAGTCTACCTCTGAGATGTGATTTTAAGGCTATTACCTACACTTTGGAGTGCAGTGTAGAGATGTTCCAGTCAGTTTTGAGCAAGCTTGAGTAATGGCAGCAATGTGCCTGTGACAGTGTGGAGCAGCCCGTGGGGCTGATTCACCTTGGTGCTTGGCTGATCAAGCTAACTTCCAAGAAATGGCCATACTGCCTCCAGTTGGTACAACTGTGTTTTGTTGAAGACTATAATGAAGGCTTATTTTAAGCTGTTTTGAAAAATATTGGTGGAAGTTGGTTTGTAGCAACCAAGCTGGCAAATTCTGGCATCAGAACTGAGCTAAAACGTCGCCCGTGATGAAAGGTTTAACAGTAACATTTCCTGCAGAGGAAGGATTGGCTTGCACTGGCATTACTAGAGCTTTTACATGCTTATCTGCAAGTCATTTGGTGGCACTATCTGCATAGAAAGCATGAACTAATCAAACTTTAGAGTGTAGAGAACTGGGAAGAATTGAGGCTAAAATACTGGGCTTCCTGAATAGTTGATATATTATTTAATCACTATCACAATGATGATATTTTATAGGTCTCTCTTTAAAGTAGTTGTGGTACTCAATTACAGAAACTCGAACTGTTAAAGCACAAGTTATTTCAGTAAAATCAGGGGAGATTTGTTTGAAAAATAGCCTGCAATGTGCATATCATATGCTAGCAAGAGAACTGTTATTTCAGAAAATTTTGTCATTATTTCTTAGTAGCTCTTACACACGTAATATATTGCTTTTTTATATTCTGGGGTCATAAATGGGATGTTGAATTCCTCCTGTTTCTTGATCATCTATCTCATTTCATTCAGGAAAACTCTGGCAAACCATATCTAGAAGAAAGTGCTTTTGAAGCACAGGAAAAAGACTTCCAAGAAGTCATCGATCTACTTAAGGGAGATAAACCTCTGGAAAAATTCCGAGTAGAATATGAGAATCTCCATGCTGTTATGAAGAAATCTCATGAAAATGAAAGGCGTCTCAGGGAGAAGTGCAGGAAGCTGAATGCTGAACTTGTGGTGAATTCATGTAAACTAGCTACGCTCACAAAACTCTCTACAGATGATAAGGAAACTATATCATCACTGAAGGCGGTAAAGTTTTGAATAGAATTAAATATGATCTGCAAATTGTTAATGAAAAACATGGTAATAAGAAAAGCATCTAAAACACCACTTTGTTTTATGTAGAGAACTAGTCAGAGGGATAACTACAGAGCTGGCCTCTCCAGTTCTTTAACCTCTGCTTTGCTACCAGTCGCTTTGTTTCTTTAGCCTGATATTTTACTAGTCCTAGTCAAATTCTGTGTTTATTTGCATTAAACCAACTCCATCAGCTTTCAAGTACTCACCGATAGTTTCTGTTTAATCTTTTCCTCTGTAAAATAGCACATTTCTTACTTAGTATACAGTTTTTGAGACTGGATTCATTAATATTTTTGAAGTGCTGCTTGGATGTTAACTATTGCCAGAACATAAAAAATCTACTTACTTACTGGAATATGGATTATAGACCAGGGAAGTGTCATCAGCTCATATAAATAAATGTTTCACAGTGTTTTTGAAAAGGAATCCTATACAGCATTTCAATGTAATTTTACCAATTTGATGTGTTCTTTGTCATTATTGATTTTGTCAAATCAAAGTGCTTATCTCACTGAAAGGAGTCAATGTTTTTAGCCTTACAGTGAGGTTTGACTGCTAAAAACCTGAAGCTGCCGAATGATCAGAAGTCTGTATTTTGAACTTTTTCCTTCTGATGGTTTAAAAGCTTAGGCTGTGGAACCTAGACAGGCTTTAATTTAGCATTTAGTTGAGAAACCTCCATGCCTTACAATAAAGTGTTTTGTTCCAGTAAAACAAATTCATAGTAACAATCTGGAGTGATCTATGAGCACTACAGAAATAGAAGTTCTTTGAAATGAAGTTTCTTGTCCTTAGAATTAGGAAGAAAATACACTCAGAGTAAATATAAATAGCAGTGCTGTCATCCTATGGCTGCAGCTTGCAAGCCCACGGTACTGTTCAAAGCATCCTTAAAGAGGAGGAAAATCTTTTTCTCTGCTGCTAATCAAAACCTGGTAGGTGGGTGTCAGGAACTGCAATGATCTTTATAATTTTCTTTCTGCTATTACATGGTAATAATACTCTGAGTGTGAACAGCAGCAGAGGCAATCCTTCAAGATGCTCCCAAGGCTTTGTCTTGGTAATGTCATAAACTGAGGAGTGGAAGAGTAGGAAAAATAAGAGCCTTTCCAATTTCAGCAGCTAATTTGAAGCTCAGGCAAGGTATGGCTTAACAATACCACCTGGTATTGAACCAGCTAAGAGGTTACGTAGGGAGAAAGCTGCTTGACATTATGATCCTATTACAAATGACGTGCAATGCACAACATGTGACATTTCAATTCTAGTCATGTGCTGTGGGCCTAGTAAACAGCACTGATACTTTTTCAGTTTGGTTATGAGATTTAGTCTTTCCTTTAAATGTTCAGGAATTATTTGGATATTGTTTAAAATGTTCATGTCCTGTTTGGGGGTTTTGTTTTGTATACCCTTCATATTTCATGTTATTAGGGAAGTTCTGTTACAGCTGTAGTATTTTGCTACAATGTTACTAATATTCAAAAAATCAGTTTTGCAAATGCCCAAGGGAAAAGTCGAGGAAAGTTCAAGTGCTAAAATAGCAATATTCTTAAGCGCTAAATTAAACCAACAATCTGTTCCACTGTTTCATTATTTACAAAAGATAGGAGAATCCTGGTGGGGCTGTTCCTGTAAAAATGGTATGGTTGCTTCAGATTAAGACCTTGAATCTTGGTGACTTGATGAGTCATCAGGGTAAAACGTATACAGCCTTCCTTTTCTAGGTCATTGTTTCATACACAAATAAAAGTTGCAGAAGCCAAATTTTTCTCCATATGAAGCCTTGTTGTAATCCGTAGGATTTGTTTAGGGGCAGGGTTTAACTACAGAGATCAGTGGCTGATAGGACTCGGGTCAATAACAATCAATAGCTATTGGCTCTCTGAGGGTTGTTCAGTGCTCTGTTTTTAGTTTTAATAAACTGGACATAATAGTCTGCTATTTACAGTCCTATCGAAGGAGCAAAGTGCCAAGATGAACACCAAGGGAATGCAGTTCTCTTTTTCATTGATAAGGATACTGATCCACAAGGCTGCACTGGAAGAACCTTGCAAGGGGAATTTATAGAAGTTTGTACTGCCCTGCTAGGAATTACCAAGTTTTTAATTTCCAGGAGTATCAATCCAGTATACTAAGAAAGTATTTCAGTACTTCTCAGTTTCTGAGTAGTTAAACTGATGTGATCTTTTGGGGTATTTAATGAAAATAAAGTAAGGCAGTCACACTTTATGAATTCTGCTTCACAATTTCCAGATTTCCAGTACTTCTCCAAAAATTTTTGAATTATTCTAACTGCAAACATCTGGTGTACTTCCATCTTTAATTATACAAGAGACTGTAATGTATGTGACCTACCTAACTATGTACTGCCGTGGCCCAGTCGACATACCCTGCATTATTTCAGTTCCCTTCTCCACTGAGTAATAGTGTGAATATTTTTTCAGTGAAGGCTTCCACCATCAACAGTTTCCTCTTCTTTGCTTTTGAATTTAAGGGAAGCAACCTGTTGATCCCCTATTCAAAGTAAAAGACGCAGCCAAGAAGCAACTACAATGAAGGCTGGTTTTACTGATGCTGAAGTCTGTAGGAAATTCTTATTTAGATTTTGCTTATTAATGGAGACGTCATCTGCCAGCCTTATTGATGAAAATTGGTTTTATTAGTACAAATTCAAAAAAAGATAAAGTTCAAAAAGCACAGCTTAGGGTGACCTGAAATCACTGCTTATATGAATGACCTCTTCGACTTCAGGGCATCACATTTGCAAATACCCACCGGAACTAAATACTCACTGAGGCCAGTAAGACCTCTCAGAGGACATATAGACTTTATTTACCAGTTTTATCCACCAAAACTCCAATCATAATGATTTAATTCACCAATTTTAATCACAGTCTAATCAGCCGCAGGAAGCTTTGATTTAAGTAATTAGCTTTAATCTTGTTTTCCATTTGCATTTTTCTAGAGAAAGGTTAGTTGCCTCTTATTGGTTGGCAAATCTGAAGCATGTTTATTTACAGCTATATTTTATGTTTTTCTGTCGGTTAAGATGATACACTATGTCTTCGTACTATTATTTCAGCCTATCATGCATTTATTTAAATTTCATAATTGAGCACTTTTATGTATGATAATAATCAATGAAAAATTTATTATTTACTAGATGATACTTGAAACTTTATGTGTCATCATTGCTGCATTTGAATGGAACTTAGAACTCAAAATGCATAAAATGTAACAGCTGACTTTAATATTAAAAACTTCTTAAATATGCTTGATGCATAAGTGCAAAGCACGTTTTTCAAACTAAATTTTGAACAAAGTAGTTTATTAAGTAATGAAAATACTGTTTGTAGGTAGTGAATTTAATTGACTATAATCTCCTTCAGAATTTCTGAACAAGTAAAGCCCACTGTTTAACTCTTTATTAGTTGGCTGGGGGAAAAAAAAAAGAAGAGCAAACATTCTTGATCTTTAAGCTCCAGATGGTTTCTCAAATTTGGATGTGCTGAACTGGTTGAATAAATAAAATGAACATGCATTCCCTCTCCAGTTTGAAGAGGTGACAGATGTTACATTTTGTGTTAGCTTTTCAGCAAATTCTGGTAGCCTATTACTTCTGCTAGTTTGATAGCTTGAATTTTTAATTTAGGCAGTAAACAGATAAGTACCACATTTATTTGATTTAAAACAGTTCAATATATATATTAACGATGTACCATAATACAGGTGTTATCATTTTAATTTTAGTGTTAAATAGGCTTTTTGTTTTAGAACCAGAGATGTTAATTTCAATAAAGAATTGCTATAAGCAATCTGATATAAATTAAACTATTTGATACTCTTCATTGTGAAATGTTTTTAATTTCTTTTCCTGCCCCATTTTCGTATGATGCAAGTAAGAGTTGACAGGGATATTATGGCCTCATGTAATGATGCTTCTGTTTGGCTTTGCTTGGGAAGACCTCAGAGTTAATGTAGAGTTGCACAGTCACACTTGGAGGCTAAATCTGTACAAGTCCGTCAAGTCCAGAACTCCACCAGGGGGCAGCTGAGAAAAGAGCATGAAGGAGAGGACTTCACGCTGTGATTTGCAGCTCAGGGACTTCTTGGGTCGAAAGTAGTGTCTTCATTATTTAGTGAGTCATTGGGAACTTTTCTTCCAATCCAGTCCCTTTCTCAACCTATGCATTTTTTTAGCACAGGATTCCAGAAATGGTAGGAGCTTGTTTTGAACCTAGCAAGAAATAAACCTGCTGTGTGATTCTTAGGGTTCTGATTCAAGGGAGAGAGATGCAGAGGAAGTTAAAAAAAACAAGTGAACCCTCTTCCCCTATAATGTTTGTGGATATCAAACCCTGGGCTTGTGAGAGGTACATGAGTCTGTCATTCAAGAAATTCCATGAGCTGAAATTTGACATGAGAACTGTGGCTTGTCTAAATATACAGTTAAAATAAAAATATACTAGGTCCTCATGGATGAAAATGAACAAAGAGGGAGAAAAGCCCAGAGTAACATCTTTTTCTATTCCAAATCAAGTTGGATGTTCCCTGTTGGAACAGCTGAAAAGATTTCTACAGATGTGAGTGAGCTAAGTAGATGGTACCTTTGTGGGCACTGAATTTTCAGTACATTTTTAGATATTAGTGGGACTCACATGACCAAAACCTCATAAGGTGACATTTGATAATGTTCAGATCTATGTGTTAAAGATAATGTATTAGAGCTTTTGTGGTGTAAATTGATATAGCCTGAATGGCTCAAAATGTTTTCTATGCCCTTGTCCAAAAGAAAAGACAACTGACATAGAAAACTGTTGTGAATCTAAGCATGAAAAGGCATGAAAACCTATTTTGTTAATGAAACAAAATGTAAAGCAATTAATTTTTAATTTGTTGTTCATTTTCAACCCAATTTAATTCATGTAATTGTTTTCCATTTTGTTCCTAGGAGTTTGGAAAGACCCGTGAATTGCTAAACACAGCCTATGAAAAGGAATGGAAAGCAAGGGAAACGATTAAATCACTGCAGAAGGACATTGCGCACCTCACAGATTCAGTGCAGAAGAGATCTGAACTATCCCAGGGACAGGAGCACAAGTAAGTTTTCCCCAGGGTGGGGGAAAGCCTTATCTGATTTTCTGTCATTCAACACCTTATTTAGCCATTTAGACACTACAAAGAAACTGGAACACAGAGTTCTTTTCTGCCTTTTACTTTTGTCATGAGTGCACATTTATTGGTCTATTTGTTTATGCAGTGAGCAAGTACAGAATCAGAACCTGAGTTCATTCAGCATTGGATTAAACTGAGAGATCAAATAAAAATCAATATTATGCCCTTTCTCTGTATCTGTCATATTGTTTTATCTGACTCGCATTTCAACATACACTGTCTTTGAGAATAGGATCCTGTCAACATTTTTACATATTATGGCAGCAGGGTCAAAGTGGATAAGTCAAGGAAGCAGGAGACTTGATTTTTCTTCTGTTCTGAGCTCTGTTATAAGGCATTATGACTGTCTGTATTCTTGTTTGTATTTCATATTTATACTTTTTCAAGACTATGGCATTTTTTTACTGAACACTTACGCAGCTGCTGGCATAGTGGGACCTAGTCTCAGGTGGAGCCTCTAGCTGCTACAGTATGCAAATAATGATCCTCAGGAGCTGCTCAAAAGCCCTCTGAAAGCTGAGGTTTGTAATATCAGGTCTTCAAACTGTGCTTATGCTGTAAGTATAAACTCAAATATGAGATTAAGTATATTTTCCCTATGACCTGTGCACTTTATATGGAGGTTTCTGATGGTTGGCCCAGCTAACTCTGTCTTCAAATTTTCACACTGTGTAAGGTATTTATATTATGCATTCGGGATATGTATGGGACATGCTCATCTCCCCATGCACTGCATATCCAGGCTGCATAAACAAGGCTTGTGTCTGCGAGCAAGACCTTTAGTGTGCTCAAACATTTCCCCTCCAAGGAATGTGCCAGCACATAAACCACATGGATACATGAGAAATCCATTGCTTCACCTTTTGGCCCTGAAATGTTCTGGACCTGTGTAACAGGTTTTTTGGATCTTAAAGCCTGGTCATTAAGCCTTCCCCTAGTATAACTCTCTCTATAGGCAGCTTTCTGTGGCTGCTTTTTGCATTTTCCTGCAAGAGCCTGGAGCTGTTAATTTGCCAAGACCTCACTCTGTGTCATTTCCATCTGCTGCCCAGGCTGCTGAGACCTGCCTGTTTACAATTTCTTCTTAAATTTCCCTGTGTTTTGCCCTCCAGTTCCATGTGTAAATACACTATTGAGTAACAAGGCCATGGGACAAGACAACTCCTTTGAGTCCCCTACAGGGCTGAAAACCCTATAGTCTTTTGGAACTGTGAGGCTATTTTTTAAGGTTGAGCTTGAATGCACATTGCTTGGACTTTCAGACTGTAAAAGTGTCCAGGCAGGGAGTCTGTTTTATTCTTACATTAGATGACTGTAAGGCGTAACCCAGTTAGGTGCCCAGTGAGGTAAGCTGCAGAGAGACTGGTTACAGCAGTGTAACATTTTTGGTCCTGCAATGGTTGGAGAAGAAGGAATTTTGTTCCCTGTTACCTTTTTGGGTAAGTGAAGGCTTCTTCAGCCCCATGAGGAGGTGATATAAAAAGAAACAGTGATTTTTTTGGCCTAGGTTAGATTTTAAAGCTGCCTATGTTGACGGTGACTGTGATCACAGTAGACAGAGATTGACCAGCAGAGCCTTAATCCAAGGGGAGTTTAATATGAAACAAATAACTTTTAAACTGCTGTTTCTCACACAAGATCTTGCTCTGTCATAGATGAAGAACAGAGAGGGCCTGTGACACTGCTTGACTATTATTTCTTTGCTTCCAGTATCCAGAATTTGCTAAATCTTAAAGAAGAGCTAACAAAGGAGCAAGACCAACTCCTGTCAGAGATCGTGAATTTACGTCAAAGTCTAACTCAAGCCACACAAGATAAGCAGGATGGAGAGAGGGCAAAAAACGAGGCAGATCAATCTGTTATGCAGGTCTGTACAGATCACCAGGTGGTGATTTTAGACTTTGTCCTGAACTTTTCTCCACTCTTGCAATTGATCTCCATTGACTAGTATGCTACTACCTGTTCTTCCACATCTCAAACTTTTTCAGGAGTGCTCAGAAGGAAGTCTGCTGTGAATTATTTTTATATTTTTCTCTACTTCTAGGCTATGTCCTTTACGAAGTGTATTGTCACATACCATCTGTTTCCATAGCTTCCCAATACCCTGAATAAGGCTGAGGTTCTGTTGCCTGAATCACAGTTACCTTTCATGCTGGAGATGTGTTTCTTTTTCTGTGTTGTAAATCCTTGTGCCTCCAAAGAACCACTTAAAACGTAGACCTGGAATGGAGATCCTAGGTCTCTTGCTGTTGGCAGTGGTTGTTGTATAGTGCCATACCATCATTTTTAAGAATGTATCAAATTCTGACTTAAAAGCTAATTTGGCTGTTTTCTCCCCTGCTCTGGAAGTTTTTCCAGACCCTCACTTTTCCAATGGTTAGAGACCTCCTACTTTCTTCTTTACACTGATTCCTGCTTACTGTTTTTCAGCTTAAATATTTTTTCACATCACCAGTGTCTGTAGAGAGCAGTCATATTCCATCTCAGCTTTCCTTTTCTTGTCTCCTCTAAGTTAGGTTCCCTGTTTTTCTGACCATCTGAGCATACAGTTCTTCTTTGCTATCAATATGTATAACTTCATTTAAATGTGTATAGCAGCTACAGGTACAGAGAACTGAGGATCAATAGGCTACCCACTGGATGGAGAGAAGGAAAAGGATGGAAGATGGGATACAGAACTTTGATACATCAAAATATTAGAACATAATAATGAGGAATAAAAGAATTTAAAACTGAATATAAATAGTGACAAGACAACAGGAGAAAGGAAAAGCAGAAAAAAACACTTAAAGAACAGAGAAGAGATGGAAGCACTATTTAGCTTACAGTTTTTTATTAATCACAAATGTGAAAGTAGTGATCAGCCTAGGTTTCATGCACAGAACTCATTTCTGTTTCTAAAGCAGATGGTTGGGAATGTATTACAAGAGATTATAAATCTTTGCTTTTCTGACAGCATTGTGGGCATGGGAGAAAAGAGAGAGGATCGAAACTCCCGTCAAAACTCCTTGAATCTTGCCAGCCTTAATCTCTTGATACTCACTTCATCAGCCCTTACATTTATGGAATTGTTATAGCATTTGTAACCACCTCCCATTCTCCCAGTATGAAATTATTCTCCACTTCAGACTGCTTAAATAACAATGTCTTTTTGAAGATCCTGTTGAAGACCCAGTCAGATCATTTGTGGGATCAGAGGGAGAGGAATCTTTAAGTGAAGAACATCTTTCAATGCTGGTCCCTGGCTGAATGGAATATTTCCATATGGATTATCCCCCTTTGTCTCCTTTCTGCTGATTCTGCTCCATCACATTTTTTTGGAGGGGAGAGAGCAGAATTCACAAGACAGTCTATTAAATATGAGAGAAAACTCCTCTTTCAAAGTTCCCGCAGAGGAACTTTAAGAGCAGAAACACTGAGAGCAGCTGTGAAAATGAACACTGATCTGACATCTCTTTCCTTTACTATCAGTGTAATAAGAGTTTCTGCAGGTGAGAGAGAAACATCAAAATAAAAACCCTTGCAATACAACATAAAGTCCAAATTCATTTTAGTGCTGCATTCAGAAAGTGCCACCTTACAAGTAACTTACAGTTGAAAATACATTTGTGCTGCTGCATCTCCAGGGGAATGCTTTTATGTCTGAACTGTATCAGACCCTTCTGTGTGGGTGAACTGACTGATACTTAAAATTTGTCATCAATAAACAGGTTCCCTCATGCAGGATTTTTTGTTCCATTAGAGAATGTGTTTACTTCTGAGAAGATCTGGCATATTCCATGTAATTGCAGGTACAGTAGTGCCATGGTTTAACCAGCACATGGTTTAGGCAGCTAAGCACCATGCAGCCACTTGCTCACTCCCCTCCCTTCCTGGCAGGGTGGGGGAGAGAATCGGAGGAGAAAGGTCGGATCACTTATGGATAGAGATAAAAACAGTTTAATGATTGAAATAAACTAAAATTTAATAATAATAACAGCAACAATAACAACAACAACAATAACAATGTAATAATAATAGGAACAACAATAATAAATCACATAAAGTTATACTCAGCTCATACAGAAGTTGGGAGTCATGCATTCCCAAAACCACTGCAAACCAACAGCTCCAGTGAAATCAGGGGAGTAGGAGGCCTTGTGAATGGAATGACTGACAAAACCCTCTGGGGGTAGTGACTATCAATCAAAGAGAGCCGTCCCCAACAAACTCCCCAATTTATAGTGAGAGTTATGTCTGTGGTATAGAGTGTTTTCTCTTAGCCTGTCCCGGCTGTTTCCCCTCCCGACTTCTTGTGGAGAAGAAACTGAGAGGACAGGTGCAGACAAAAATGGAAAAAAATGTCAGTCCTCGACTTAATGTAAGAACCACTTGGTAAGAACGAGAGAGGTTCTCGTCCCCCTCTACTCTGCCCTGGTGAGACCGCATCTGGAATATTGCGTCCAGTTCTGGGCCCCTCAGTTCAAGAAGGACAGGGAACTGCTGGAGAGAGTCCAGCGCAGGGCTACAAAGATGATCAAGGGAGTGGAGCATCTCCCTTATGAGGAGCGGCTGAGGGAGCTGGATCTCTTTAGTTTGCAGAAGAGGAGACTGAGGGGAGACCTCATTCATGTTTATAAATATTTAAAGGGTGAGTGTCACGAGGATGGAGCCAGGCTCTTCTTGGTGACAAACAATGATAGGACAAGGGGTAATGGGCACAAGCTGGAACACAGGAGGTTCCACTTAAATTTGAGAAGAAACTTCTTCTCAGTGGGGGTGACAGATCAGTGGAACAGGCTGCCCAGAGAGGTTGTGGAGTCTCCTTCTCTGGAGACATTCAAAACCCGCCTGGACGCCTTCCTGTGTAACCTCATCTAGGTGTTCCTGCTCCGGCAGGGGGATTGGACTGGATGCTTTTCCAATCCCTAACGTTCTGTGATTCTGTGATTCTGTAACCGAAACACCAGTGTGTTATCATACCATTCTCAATGCAAATTCGAAACAAAGTCTCATAGTAGCTACTATGAAGAAAATTAACTCTGTCCCAGCTAAAATTGAAACAGTGTCTTACCGGGTTGTTTTCACTTATACAAACTCTGCTATCTGCTCAGAAATGCAGCTTTCCTGAACAGAAAATTGATTCTATGATTCTATCTCAGTGAAACCAAGACAAATAGTACAGTAACTGTTGTTTTCCAAATCAAGCGTAGTAGAAGGAGAGGTGAGAGGCCTTGTTTTCCTGAATAAAAGGCAGCATAACTTAAACTTTTATCTTTTGTATTATTCTAGCTTCAGCAAGAAATCCAGCTGCAACAGAATGAGGTATCACGAGAGACTCGAAAGAAGGAAAGAATGGAGAAGGAGCTGAAAAATCTGCTAACTGAAATGAATAACAAGCAAGCTGAGATCAAGAATCTACAGCAACATATAGAGAAGAATAAAGAGGAACAACTGTTAATGAAACTCCATATAATAGAGCAGAAGGTAGGGCACACGGCACACTGTATTCATCTGGTCTAAGATTAGGGTCAGATGTCAAAATAAGAAGAAAATTAATTTTCCTGAAGGGAGAGGCAGGGAGATTGTTATAAGTAAATACATTTTAATAAATATTTATTTTTATATAAATATTACTTTACTAGTAAATAAATACGTAAAACTTGCTGACAGATTTCAGATAGATTTCCTCACATAAATCGGTAGTGGATCGCAATTATATTGTTAGAGATCATCTTGAAAAGATCACAGCAAATAAGACAAAGTCTGTGAAGAGAATGGATGATCTAATGGTAGTAACAGGAGACTGCCAGGTTGGACTTCTGATGTGTATTGCCAGTTTTGCCACTGATTCACTATAGTGGTATTTGAAAAATCATTTTATGTTTGACCCCCTTCTTTCTTCTCTGTCACAGTAATTTTTACCTACCTCTCAAGCTTGTGGAAGAGTTTCTGTGAAAGGGCAGAGAACTGTCTTCATAAACCTTTTTGATTGATTTTCCCCATTCTGTTTCTAAAAACTTTATCTGGAAATGTCCTAACATAGTGTTCTGCAAATGTTTGAGTTTTCAGGTTTTCAGCCCATTTCCCCTGACTTTGTGAAACTCTCAAAGAAGCAATTTCAGTAAATGGCAGGGGAGATCTCATCACTGTAAAATAGTCCTACCTCAAGGGAAACTTCTTTGGGAGTTGTGTGTATCTTGCAAATTTATTGCTTTTATGGCTTTTTCTTCCCTTCAGGTCCCTGAATTTGTGAAGGTAGAGGTCTGTGACAATTTTTTGTCAACATAGAGCCTTAGTAAAATACTTCACATAAAGAGATACAGAGAAGACTTGATTATTTCTCTGAATATCACTGATTTGATGCAGCTTTTGAGGGCAACTCCATGATCTGCCAAGACAATCACATTGTTTTTAAATAGGATATCTACAATTCCTGGTTCTGTTCCATTCTTCCTCCTCCTTTGTATAGTCCCTTTCAACCTTTCTAAGTGCAGATTTTAGGAGCATTCAATTGTCCAAATTATCCTGGAAACCAATAGTTCACATAAAGTGCTGTGCCTGGGCTAATTAACCAGACTACTGCACTGTCTTTGTTGCCTATACTGGTCTGAAGGTGTCTGTGGAGGCACTGCATTGTCTTTTGCAAAAAGTCTGTCCAAAACACAGGCTGTCCAACTGTGCAAGAGTCAGAGTAGAGATCTGCAACAGAAGGTGACTCATCTATTGCAGTATCACTGGGTTATTGTTTCTCAAATGAATTTTAGTTGGCTGTGATGTGTGCTCTTATTACACTGAAATTTCTGATAAAATATCCTTGCTTCCCTGACAGTGAAGATGGTTTGATACAGCTACTATAGGCTTCATGCCACTTATATCCAAGTCTCAATAAAGAATCACCTGAAACACAGTGCTATCCTGACAGATGCAACACAATAAAATTGTTTTCACATTGTCTCTGTTTCTACATGTCTTCAGAAGGGTGAGGTTCCACTTCTCTTCCTTTAATGTTTGTTGAGGGCTTAGTACATACGTACTGAGTTCGTCAGTTTACCACACATTAAGGCTTGAAGTGAAAAATATGATGATCGTTCTTTCCTCACTTATGGAGTAATGTCTGTTAGGGGAAGCCCCATCAAGCAGAAGGAAAGACTGGCAGCTCCAGTATTGAAGTATATGTTCTCCATAGAAACCATGAAACTGCTGTTACGAGCTTTTGACTGAAGACAAATTAGAGAGGAAAATGGTTGTGTCCTGGTCTCAGCAAACCATGTACCCAGAGAAATGGTATAAACATATTAATGTAGGATTTGCTTGCTAAGAAACAGAGCTCCCCTGCCCTCTGCTGATTGAAGTAATTTGAATCTCAAACTCATTTTCAGTAATTGTATGTAGCAAGTTGTTGTGTTACGTGATGCTTGCCAAATGCCTAACAAGCAGTGAAATGTTTATCTACCACCTGCAAGAGAGACCACTAAGCTCCCGGAAAAAAGATGACACTAGCTGTGTTACTAGAAATTATAATTTCCCCTAGTCAATATGAACATGTATCATATTTCACATTAGAAATTTCATCAGCAATGAAGAGTGGTATTTAAGCAGACAATAATCTGTAACAGCTTTCGTCTCCTGGGGAGATGGAGGGTTCTGTCTTCATGTATATGTAGATATTGTAATGAGATTAAAAAGAATTAATGGGATTGTTCTTTAACAGATCTTGAATGGAAAGACTGGTGAGGAACTTGAGGAAGTTCAGAAGAGAAATGATAACCTCATACAAGAGAGAAAGCAGCACAATGTGATGCTTAAAGAGATGATGCGGGCTATCCAGCAGGAGACAGCAGACCTGAAAGTAAGTATCAGAAGGTGCATGCATCCTATCAGCTATATCACTCTGACAGCAGTCCTACCACTTGGGACAATGATGACCTCAGTTCTTGTATTGATAGTTCCCTATGTGTAGTTTTGGGGGAAATCTGAGGAGTTTTTAGGAACAGATCTGGCTGGTGCTGGATGCCATTCTTTCTGTGACAGTAACATGGTACAGTCTCCAACCCTATCACCTGAGTGTAGCAGCTGTCCTGCTGGAGGAGCTGTTTCTAAAAGCACATAAATCAAAACGATCAAAACATTGTGTTCATAAAGGATGCATGGTACTTCTGAGAAGCATAAAGTCTCTTTTCAATTGTGAGATCTTCAGATAAAAGCAACTACTTTCTTTCTTACTGTGATTAACATAATCAGAATGTTGCCAACATCCACTGAAAAATGTTAATAAATTAAAATGACAGTCTACTGGATAGCTTCCACTCAAGGTGGTTGCTTCCAACACTAAAATTTTCCCTCCACAATGTTGGTTGAGGTTGTTAAATGTAAGTAACCAAGATGGTGTTTACTTTCTGATCCAAATGGTTTTCTTGCCTGACTTCACATTGTTTAACAGTTCTTTTATACCACTTAGAATCAGGTGAGTTTCAGTTGGAGAAGGATTAAATTATTCATGCCTATGCTTTTTAGGGTACTTTGAGAGCATTTGTGGTAAAGGGTAATATGTAAGTGTTAGATGTTATTACTCTGTCTACTGTATGTTGATTTTTGTACCATCATTGGGGTTAAAACACTAAACATTAGAAAATTCAGGTAGAAAATCATTATTTTATCAATGTTTAGTCAAGTGTAACCAATTCACCTAAATAAAAATGTTGTTTGCCAATAGAGAGCTTTTTTTTTTTAAATGGGAAATGTTAGTCAGAATGATAAAAACTAAGCCCCTGACAGATTAAAAGCTCAGGTTGTACCTAATATAACACAGAAGATTCTGATTTGGATCCTTAATAGGCCATATGGTGGAGCTTGTTTTCTGTTGTATTTTGTTAGGCTGGCTGGAGGACATTTTTCTTACCTATTTGAGAAAAAAATTACTATATTTTCCAGTTTATCTGATTTGATCATTACCTCTAGCAATACCATCATTGCTTAAAACTTTACAAACAGTGTGTTCGAAAGTAACTTACATTTGAGGCTCTAGAGGTCCCACGGACCTCTGGGAACAAAAAAAAAATAAAAGATACTGCCCAGTTAGTAATTATGCCAATTGCTAAAGCTTCTAAGTCCCAGTCATGGTCTGAGATGCCCTTTTTCTAGGCACTATGCTTGCAGTTTCATCCTGTGGTGTGGTGTGTTTCAACACTATGGTGTTGGGCAACCCAGACTGTGAAAGTATTCGTAAATCTCTGAAGGTTATTGTCAGTAAGAATTGAGGAGATTCACATCCCCCCAGAGGATACTCACATAGCAGGATTCACCATCTTACAGGATCAGCATCTGTAAGTGGAACACTGTAATCTGTGATGGCTGTAAAAACCTAGCAGGGGCACTGAACTATATTGGGAAGTTGTATTTGCTTTTTAAAAGGAAAGAGACAAATTTCCATTGTGATTATTGGTTGTCTTTCCTGGTAATCAGTTCCTTAATTTTTATGCAGCGTTTTGATAATTTTTTTCCTCTGATTGTATAGCAAATGAGAAGAACTCTACATTATGCTTTTTCTTTAAAGCCATAGGTTATAAAAGAGATGGGGATAGCAGATACCTGCTATTAGGGACATGCAGCCAGACCACACTACAGATGTCTTTCTTGTCACAATCACTGTCCCTAATACTTCAAAGGAAATTAGAGCTGCTTGTGTTTTATCTGCAGGACTAATTGGGTAGTGCTATGTGAGGTTTGCAGCTGGGGATTCTTTATTGATCCTCTTCAGCCCTAAAGCATAAGATTTTATCATTTTCCTTGCCCTAGCTGGCTTTGTTTAAATTATTTTTAGTATTTTTCAATTAGCTAATTATCTTTTCTCAGGTGACCCACAGCACTTATAACAGCACTTATATCTTTGCTAGGAAAACTGCATGGAATAAGTATACACCAAGTACAGAGGCTTTTTCTTTCTATGGATACTTTCTCTCCCCTTTCCTTGTTGCTGTTCTGTAGGTCAGACGTAAAGAAGTGGCTCAGATACGCCTTGAAATGTCAAAGCTGAACAAAATAAGACATGTTCTCCAGAATAAGATGCGTGTTGCAGAGGAGCAAAAAGTTGAGGCAGAACATGAGAGAACCAACCTAAAAAATAAAATATCTGGACTGGAGAGAGGTAGGTGCCTAACTGATGAATGGATCTGTCTTTTGATTTGTAATTTATTCATTCAGGGCACATCTTCCCATTACTATCATTCTCCTTTAGTGTCTAGCATGAGACTCTGTAAGTGACAGGTGGAATCTACAGCAGCATTTTGAAAATCTTGTAGAGTGTTCTGGTTTACAGGGACAGAATTTTAGAGTCAGTTTTCTGTTGAGGAAAACTGCGATTTTGTAAGGACTACAACACTCTTATTTCATGGGAACAAAGTTCTAAAACTTTGTCAAAGGTTTCAGCTAATGTTGGTGTGTGATGCTCAAGGTCTTCAGCAGTCTTGAGATAAACAGGTGCAGCAGCTAGGGTCAGCAGAAACCCAGGGGAGTTGACCGCAGTCTGACTCTAGGCTGACCAATTAGCACTATCCATACCATAAACCTCGCATGTACTATCAATTGAGGAGTTTGCTGGGAACAGCCCCCTTCTCCCCTCTTCCTTGGCTGATATCTTGAGAGGGACTTGTCTAGCATCCTACCCCTGAGGCCTACTCCACCACAATATAGGCTGAGTATAACTCTGTGTATTTTATATTCTGTTATTAATATTATTTTATTAAATACATTTCTATTTCAACTCATGAATCTCCTTTCTTTTTCCTGACCCCCCCCTCCCCAGGTGGGGAGGAGGCATCAAGTGATTGAGCAGCTGTATAAGCCGTGACATAGGGCTGCAGAATTTTCATGATGTACCATACATGGAGTGAAAACACAACAGACATAGCTGAACTTTGTGGTGTGCCAATTTGTGCCACGTCACATAGAGTCATCCCCAATGCACCTTCACTGCTCCTGCACTGACCTGTGAGAGAGAAGCAGTCTCAGAGCTTACTGAAATCTGTAGGTTTAGACATACTTTTTTTTCCTGCTTTGATTCTGTTGGATAGTTATAGCCTGGAAATGTGCAAGCGAGCTGATAAACTTAATTCTGGTATGTTTAGGACTTCAGTGGTCAGCATTGATACTAGAGCTGTCCAAAATTGACTTTGTCTTGCTATCAGATCTAGAAAACTTCAAGAGGGAACGTGCAACATTTTGCCAAATGGAAATTTTAGAAGAAAATGCCTTGGGTCTGGCAAAATATTTTGTTTAATTTAAAAAAAAACAACTTTTTTTAGCATTTACAACTGGTTTGGTTTTTGGTTTTTGGTGGTTTTGTCTTGTTTTGTTTGGTTTGGTTTGGGTTTTTGTTTGGTTTTTTGTGTTTTGGTTGGGTTTTTGTTTGTTTGGTTTGGGTTTTTTTAGTTTAAAATACAAATAAATTTCAAAATAAAAAATGCTTTGAAATAAAATTAGACAAGTTTTTTTAAAATTATTTACAGAAAAAAGCAGTTCTATAACTTTTTTTGTTGTTGCTAAAATTGTGTTATAAAGTTGGCAAAACATTTGAGTTGATGAGACTTCATTTTCTGGGGCAGAAAAAACCCCTTGCTAGAAACCTTGTCTAGTTCAAGTTAATATATACTGGCATAAATGCCTCTCCCTGCTCTCCCTGGTTTCTAGTTTATGTCCTGAAGAGACAGTATGTATCAGATATGAATCCTCACATATAACTGTATTCATGGAAAGTTGTGACTGTTTTTCATGCATCTCTGTGAGGGTAGAAGAGCTTTCCCACAAGTGTTTTGCTGGTACTGCTTAAGGTCATGCTCTGTACTAGAAAGGAGAGAGGAACTCTCTTATGAGGAGCGGCTGAGGGAACTGGGGTTGTTTAGCCTGGAGAAGAGAAGGCTGAGGGGAGACCTCATCACCACCTACAACTACCTCAAGGGAGGTTGTGGAGAGGTGGGTGCTGGTCTCTTCTCCCAGGTGATGGAGGATAGAACAAGGGGAAATGGCACCAAGCTGTGCCAAGGGAGGTTCAGGTTAGAGATAAGGAGGAAGTTCTTTACTGAGAGGGTTGTCAGAGGCTGGAACAGGCTGCCCAGGGAGGTGGTGGAGTCACCATCCCTGGATGTATTTAAGGAGCGGGTAGATGAGGTACTTAAGGATATGGTTTAGGGGGTAGATAGGAACGGTTGGACGTGATGATCTCAGAGGTCTTTTCCAACCGAGCGATTCTGTGATCCTGTGATCCTGTGAACTCAGGAAATTCAGTTCTGTACTGGAATGCCTGAGAAGACCTACTGATAGATAACCTGTCTTTCTGCATTATTTGACATATCATAGCACTCCAGTGTACTGCATTTCCTGAGTTGCAGTAATTAGTATATCAGATTTTAATTAATTTTAAAATATAGTGGAAACACATTTCTTCAGTTTTTAATATCTTTTTAGTAGTATATGTCCAGTGTTAATCTTGACCCACAGTAAGTAGTTTTAACTCCACTGAAGTCAGTGGAATTTCATGGCTTCAAAGGAGAACTGGATTTCACATAGAGGGATTAGAATAATTCTGATAGTTCCTGAGAAACCTGATCACAGCCAATTGAACTGTTGATGTAAGGTTAAGGCTTTTTAAAAAGTTCCCTAAGTTGTTTCTGCATTTCTAGCAGCTGTACAGTTTGAACCTAGGATTTATTCTCTTTCCTCCTTTTCTCTAGAGTTGCAGGCTGCCGAAAAGCAGGCGGAGATTGACAAGAAAGCTATAGAGGAGCTTCTGAGGGAAAGGGATATAATAAGCATGGTGAGCTTGCATTGGTGATACTGATAAACAGATCTCATGAGAATGAAATGTCTGTAGTTTAAATGCTCACAATGACACAGAAATGTTGTAGAATAACATTAAGTAAAGCATTTGGATTTCCTAAAGCAGATGCTTACACTACTTCTGTGCACTGTAAATGGTGTTAGTACCCATAAACACACAAAAGATATCCAAGTTTTAACATATGAACTGTCAGGGAGTTAAAAAAATGCAACGTGTGTTCACCTTTATTGCAAACCTGTTATTTGTTATCCAAAGAGTTCATTACATCTGTGCTTTTACACTCTGTAACATAAAGTTTAATATTAATCTAGGCAAACCAAGTCTTTGGTAGTAAAAGTACAAACCAAAATGTTGATACATCACATAGAAGCTTGGTAGGCTGTGTTAAGACTAATCCTTACTTTTAGGTCCATTTCTCATACTGATCATTTGCCATCTGCCCAAGATTCTCATACTGCAGGATAGCATCTCCTGTTTATGGGCATTCCTGAAGTGTAATCTAGTAAATTCAATGCTAAAAGATTATTTCTGAGGTGCTTTAGTTGGTATAGATTCACTGTCCTGTGTCTTGACTCTTGCAGAGGCTCAGATTTGGCAGGTAACAAACACCTGTTTTGTATAGGGAAATAAATTTCCAAGTCAGACCAGAAGGCTGATTTTGTAAAGATGGTATCTTGGTGTTTTCTGTTTAATCCTTATGCATAATTTTAATCATGCTTGGTTAATTTACAGTTTGAACTTGCTATTTAGGACATAAGACGGAAGGATATTTTGTTTTATTCTTTATTTTACTGGCTATTGACATGATTTACAATCTAAATGCCTTAAAGCTGGTAAGATTTTTCCAGATGTTAGTTAGATCCACTTGTAAACAATCCTAACTGTTTTTGTAATGCAAACACTAGTGTTTTAACTACAAATCAGAAAGAGCACTATTTAGCAGATCTGTTAGAGATTTATTTTTTATTTTTAAATCAGATTTGAGGCTCAAGTATTTCAACTGAACAAATTAGATGAGGGGTAATCCCATAGGGAAGTCCATAATGCACTTAAGACAATTGCATGTTTGTGTCATAGTGATGGCAGCGTTGTCTTTTCAGCTCATGAGCCACTATTTTGTGTTCCCTGTAGAATTTGGTGAAGGCTACCGGTGCCACTCAGAAGCAGATAAATTTGGTGAAGCTCCATGAACGGGCAAAGAAGAAATTGGAACAAGAAATCCAAAATTATAAGAAAGAAGCTCAGAAACAAAGGAAGTTTATTTACCAGTTGGAGAAGGAGAGAGATTATTTCATCAGTGAAACCGATGACCTCAAACAGAAGGTAGGAACAGCTTTTTGTGCAACTGGTTATTTCCTGTCTTGCTCTCAAAACTGTAAAGATGATGTTGATTTCCTAACATACCAGTGGGAGGAAGCCTAGATCAGTGGTCTGCACACAGTTTACAAAGATTTCTTCTTGTCAGTGCATGCTGCATGCTGCTGTTTTAGGTCTCTCTGAGGGGACCTCATCAATGAGTGTGTATTCTATGACAGTCTTAGACTACAGCCATGTATTTCTCTTATTCAGTGATCATTTGGGAAATTAAACTAGGACTGGAGTTCAGACCAAGGCCTCTGACTTCTTACTCCGGAATCCCACAATCTAAACTCTCATATGCAGTTGGAAATTACTCTTTGGTTGTTCTGCTTTATCTGCAACGGACCTTATCTTGCATACACTTGGTATCTTCAGCTTGAGGCCAGTGAGAGTTGACAGTGCTCTATATCTTTGTAAGAGACATCATTTTGAAGGATTACTCCCAGTATGTGAAAACATCTGGAAAGGTTCAAGCTAGTCTGCAAAACAGAAGTTTTCTGGGAACTGCTGCAGAGAAATGCTGTATACACTTTGTGTTGCCTGCTGCCCATTATTATGTACAACTTTATTCCTGATGGTATACTCGGGAACATAGTTGTAACATGTTCCATTAATTGCTGAAGATCACATTGAAGGGGCCTCCAAGAAGCTCATTGATATTCTGGGATTAGCTTTCAAGCTGTTTCAACCCACAAGTTATTTGCTATCTTTTCATTTTAAAATTATCCTTTCTAACTTCATGTGACTAGGGGCTTTTAAATCATTTTTTGAATGGTATATTTTCCCTTGCCTGGAATACCTTTTGTCATTTCCTTGGAATAATATTGCATAAAAGTGAGATTTGTCTTTGTTGCAAAGTCATATTTTGCATCCTTCCTTCATAGTGCCTTTCTAACATTATAGACATGAGTTAAGAACATTGTAAACTAGGGCCAGGAGGTAATTCATAATACTCAGAACTACAAGGCTCTTGCTTTCAATTCTGATTAAGGTTGCTCACAATATTTTGAGGGTGAAAATGACAAATGTTTGCTTGTTTACTTCTTCTTTTTTTCCCCTGCCACTTCAGGTGCAAATTTGCTGTCACTTCTTATAAGGCAGAGCCTCAGTAAATGGGCTATGACACTTGAGCTGTTTGTATAATGATGCCTTCCTTGTGATTGCAAGTTTCTGAAGGACTTGCACACTTCCATGGTTCACTAAAGAGGCAATTCCTGACTCAGCTTGCAGGTGAAGAGCAGCAGGAGCAGTTCTGAGCACAGTAGTATGTGAGACAATAGTCTTGTCCCTGCAGAGGTTCCCAACATGAGATTACTCATTGTTTGGAAGGATAAGACAGTGCAAAACACAGGGTAGAAGGAGGACAGGATTGTTATATCCACTAGGTAATATTTAGGTTCACTGTTTGACCTTTGCAGATGGATAACTTGGGAAACTGTGGCAAAACTGCAGGAGCCATTTTACAGCTGGTGGGGCTACTGATGGGCAGTAGTCATCTGGCCAGTCAATGGTTCTTCATCACCTTTTACCACCAAGCTGGCTCTGAAGGAGCTCCCTGCAGACCTTCTGAATTGTGTAAGAGCTGGTAAAGAGTCAGACCCATGTCATCCGAAGATTTCTTGGAACTCCTGCAAGGCAGAGCAAGCCAAGCTGGCTCTGAAAGCTGTCTGGTTATTTACAGCAGGACAGAATCTATAGAGTTGCAGAATTCCTCTTTCAAAATCATCATTTACTACTAAGTAACTGGCAAACAGACTCAGAAAAGCTATATCCACAACAGTAAAATATTTTAGTGGTGAGAATTCATGCTAGACTTACTCTTCTAATTACTGGCCTGGCCAACAGTTCTTTTGTACCATTTTTAAGCCAGTGGCACTTGTTGATTAGTCTTACTTCTAGATTAGCCAGCACAAATGAGAAAAAAACCTGGCTCTTTGCTCTTTGTTGCGTAGCCTGTATTACTGAGCTACAAATATTAGTAGAATATTTCTTTTTTTAATTGAAATTCCTAGATTAAGAAATCATAGTTTCCCTGTGGAAGGCTTGGGTTGCTGAAAAGGAAGCAGTGAAGTATACCCTTCAGTCTCACCTGAAGTGTTCCCTGTCTGTGCCTTACAAGAGGTCACAAATACAGACTCCAATATGTTGGGGTTTTTTTCACCATTTACAGTGTTACGTTTACAATTTAACAACATATCCAGGAAAATTAAAAAACATATTTCCTTTTTAAAATTCTCATAATCTTTTGGAAAGTCTAATGCTTAGCAGGCATATCATTAAGACCCTGGCAACACTTCTTGGAGTAGTTAGATAAAGGTAAGCAAATAAGGATGGCACCATTACTGAGATCTTGAGTAGGTGCACTGAACTAAACAGCTAACCAACAGTAGATGATAGTTAAGTGTACAGATACAATACTTGTGAAGGTGCAGAAGAAAACTATGAATATCTAATACTTTCTGCTTACCTTTGGCTCCTCATTGCCAAATCTGAGAGGTGTAGTGTGCTGTCAGCTAAATCAGAATTGAGAATGCTCAGCCTCCCACAGTGCTCTTTTGGGAAACAGTGCATGCATCTTTTCTGTATGTATAAAGAATTATTTGGGTTTAATCATTCCTGAAAAAGCAGAGTCAGCCTCCAGCCTGTGAGCACAACTCAGAAAACCTAGTCCACAAGCTTATTGCACTCATATTGTATCAAAAGAAAGACTTACAAATGCAGTGACCTACATTCAAATCTTGCTCCAGCCTATGATCACCATAGTGCAGATAGAAAACATGCTGTATTGATTTCTTCTCCCTGCCATTACTATTGGCAGGTTGTTTTAACAGAAAAGGAAAAGCCAAGAGTAAGTTATAAACTGGGACTGTGTTTTTGTATTGCACTCTAAGCAGTTCCTGGGATCCTATGCAGTCAGCTACAAGTGTGCTGGAATTGTATTCCTGCAGCTGTAATAAAATGATCTATATTTAGCTAACCCCTATCTTCAAAGTTGGTTGTAGGTACCTGGTAGAATGGTCAGTTAATTAAGCTCCTACCCCATAGTTAGACCTCACAAGGGTTTACTACTAAGCAAGGGACAACATTGTCGATAGCAAACTTTGGAGTTATTGACTATTTGATGTAAACATTTTTTTATTCTTCTGCTTTGACATATGAACATAAATCTTAGCTCAAACTGCTACCTTCAGAAACAGTCAAGAGAACTGGGTATGAAATGCAGTTTTAAATAGACTTCTCTTCTGGATTTTGTCCCTGCGATTCCTCAGCTTTTTCTTTAATGCTTCGTCTTTTTCCCAGCTTTAAGAGTGGCATTGTTTTCTCCCCGGGGCAGTGAACCTGAAAAATTATGTTCTTGAAAGGTGCCCTCCTTATTTTTCTTTTTATTTCTTTCAGCCTTCTTTCTTTGTATTGTTGGATTCTGTTTGAATTCTGCTTGTTTGTGCTCCTCAGTTTTCAACTTTGTACAGCAGGAGGAAGGTTCTTACATTTAAAAGAAAATAATTAGAAAACCCAGCATAATGATTAGCAACTATTTATAGTCTTGCTCCTTTAACATAGTCATTCTTATGTATTTTTATGGTGGTAACTGTTTAATAAAGGTGTCTATAAAATTTTGTATTTTTGTTTATTGATACTACCTGGGATCATCTTCTTTCTACACTCTACAGTACTCCATTCTCTTTATGTAATCTTCACATCAGTAGTTCTAATCCTTCACAGAAGCAAATAATAGTGAATACCTATTTATTTAGATCAAGTGTAAGTTAATTAATTGACTTCCTTATTCTTGTAATTGTAGACCAACAGTTTGTGATCATATGTTTCTTAAGGAAAAGTTGGGTTGTTAAGATATAGGAGTACATGCAGGGCTTTGTGGCAAAACAGATGTGTTTTTATTCATCTTATCATACAGCTGACATCCAAAATGACATACAAAGTCTGACTTTGCTCTATAAATTACCTAAGGCTATCCTTGATGAAAGCTGTTTGTTGATTTTCTTGGACCCGCTTAGTGACAATACTTTCAGTAACTTGTTTTTAAATTAAATATTTGCACATCTGTAAGTTTTAGTCTTGAAAAAACCTCGGTATCAGATTAAAATAAATTGTTCTCCCACATAAGCAATCGAGAAAGGTTGAACTTGTACTTGGGCTGAGATGATTTTTATCTGTAGCTAAAACTACTTATCACAGGGATTTGAACTTATCATCTACAAAAAAATCACAAACTTGTCCCCAGCCTTATAATCTTGTGATGATGGTTTAATTGTGTTCACTTCCTTCTTTCTGCTCCAGGTCCTCCATAACCTGAAAGATCGTGAAATACAGGAAATGCAGATCTCTGGCTATATGAAGCAAATAGAAGAGTCTGAGATTAAATTGAAACAGGAACAAAGGCGCTGTGAAGCTATGGAAGCAGAGAAGAGGTTGTGCAGTAAAAATCTGATTGAAGCTAAGGTAGAAGGACACATTTTAACTTGTGCTTCTCTCTCTTCTCTTGTTGTTTTTTTTCTGATCTAATTTTAATTTGTTAAAAGGAAAGCTCACTGGGTAAATGGCAGAGGTGGTTTCTTCGTTCCTGTGTGTTCTGGGGAAATTAATGTCTTAGGTCCCTGATAATTTATCTGGAGAGAAACTTTTTCCTTTCCATCCTGGCTCTGCTCTGTTCTGTCCCTTTAGGCGTTGCCTGTATGTATGGGAAATAAGGTATAAGGGGAATAATACTGCCTCCTTAGCCCTGAACACATATGTACATTACTGTGAATTATGATTTAGGAAGCAGAGGGAACGCTTTCCCAGCTGTAGTGGAATTTTCTGACAGAACTCAACACTTCCACCTCCCTTGTACCTTTCAGGGAGTGTCATTTTCCTCAGATAATGATTCTCTCCATTCATATCTCTTCCTTGGGGATCTCACTAATGATATTAGAGGAAAAGAACAAATCACTTAAGGATACATTCTCTTATTCTGGTAAAGATCTAAAATACTACACAAATCCTATTGCAGTTGGCAGAGATTGGGACCTCGGATAGTTTTGATTTACAACCCTGGGTTGTTTCAGAATAAGGATTTATAGCATAAACATGTATAGTAGATTACAAATCTATGCTCTGGTTTGAATAGGTGGGTGCTGTGCTTGAGAAGCTGGTGGGATTGAACTGTCCAAGTTCCTATGTGGGAAGCTTTACCTGACCTTTGACTGCCTCTCATCAGTGGACGTGGTGTTGGGATTCTCACTGCACCCAAACAATCTCTTAGCAGAAATAAAGGCGAAAAATGTCAACGACTTAAAAAAAATAATTAAAATATACAACATAAATTTGCATATTTAGAAAGAGCTGGCAGCTATATGCTGAGTTACAAAATGAAGCAATGAACTCATCAGCCTTTTCAGGTTTTGAATGTTATATGGTGGTATCCACAAAGCTCTCTGTGGTTCCAGTTGTTAGAGGCTGGTACTTAGACTTGAATAGCTTAATTCTCTTACCATAAAACTCTTTCAGCAGTCCTGTGTGAGAAGACAACTCACCTCAAAAGATCTTTTGGCCAAGGCAATATAGCGTAGCAGTGAAAAAATAGCCCTTCAATAGCAGGTCAGCCAGCCGTGAAAAAAAAAAGATGGTTATGTTAAAAATTACTGTAAATTCTTTTTCCTTTTGGGTAGTAAAACAAATTTACAAGCTTGTTTAGATAAATCTATATGTGAGTATTTTGATATTGCTTAATGAGGAAAGATTCCCTGTTGCCCACCTTGCTAGTGGTCTCCAGAGTACCATAATCTTCAGCTCAGTAAAATCTCTTGGAAAAGGCATGCTGGCAGTCTGTTAATATGAGATAAATATCTAATGCTTTCATCCTTGGGGTTTCTTGTGGTGTTAGGACCTCATTTGTTTAAGTAAGTTAATTAGGAGACCTGTTTGCAAAAATCGTGTCTTCTTACTGTTCCTTATTAAATACAGAATTAGGAATGTATGTGGCTATATGTTTGGGCACCAGAATTTAAATCTGTTTTACAGTGTTGAAGAGATTTCTAGACTGCTTAGCAAAGACATCTTTTAATATGACTTTTACATTCATAGAAGTGACTGAACATGCAAACAGACCTAGTGGCATATTGCTACAATTCTTTCTGGTTCATTTAATTTGCCATGTAAGTGTGGAATTCATTGATTTTCTTTTTGAGGGCTTTCTAACTACTAATCTATACTTTCTCAGTACTGTTTGTGAAGACCACCATGACTCAAGATCTTGCCTAACTATGTTAAGCAACTCGTGCAAGAAAACATCACTCATTTGTCAAGTAAATCCACATCTATGGTGGACAGTGCTGAAAGAGCTCTAAGCTACCCTGGTTTTGTACTGAAATAGAATGCATTCACATGAAATGTTATGGTGTCTTCTCTGTGAGGTGGCAGCCTCTGGCAGAGGAGTAATAGCTTCTAAAGCTACTTTCGTTAGATCCAGAAGATCATGTCTGTCTAAACACTGAATTTATTACCTTCCACTTCATGCTGCAACATGTGCCATCACTGCAATGAGTTAAAACAGTTTCTTAATTTTGTACAGACAGGCACCTCTGTGCTGTGAGTAGAGGTAGTCCTAGTGTTCTGAACATTCTGAAGTGCTATCAGGCTTTTTGCTCTGTCTTTTGAGCTTAAAATATATGCTAAGTATTCTCACACTAGGGACTTCTCAACCTCTGAGCAAACTAGCACATAGACAAAATGGAGGTAAGCATTTCCTATACTCCCTTGCAAGCATGTAGGTATCTTACTCGTGAGTATGTTGATTTGCACAAAACCAGCTTCTCTCCAAACATTTGTGCCCAACTGCATACAACGTGATTGAAAAACACATTGCTAGAAGCATGAGAACAGATGGGTAGGATCAGAATCTTAATAATTTTGGTTGACTGCTAGTTCTTACCCTGTGCCCAGCATTTTAAATTAAATGGTTTATTATAGGCATAATTGATTGTTATTTTTGTCAAGGTAAATTTTAAAGGTGGTTGTTTTTTTTTTACCGCAATGTCGTGCTGGCATAAACAAAAAAATTATCATTTAATGCAACTGTTTTGTTCTGTTGGATTAAAAAGTAATGTCTTGTAGTATGTACAACAGACCACCTCTCAAGCACTGTGGTTACATTTTCCAGTATCAAAATAGCCTGAACTCCCAAGCACAACTTGCTCCTTTTTGATACCTCTTTGTGATCACACTTCATGTCCTAATAGGATGAGATAGCAGAATTGATGAAGAGACTGAAATATGTGATAAATGAGAAGGATCAGCTGAACAAGAAGATCACAGACAAAGAAGCGGCCCTTGCTAAAGCACGTCTAGAACATCAGCAGACAGAGAAGGAGAAATATAATTTGAAAGTAAGAGCTTTACTCTTATACCTTCTTGCAAAGGATGGTTTCCATGATTTCACAGACTGGATCATGTTCCTGGTCTGTGGTAGCTGTTTTGCTGTATTTTAATAAACTGTTCTGTAGTTGAAGCACAAGATCTCAGTACCCTTTAGAGGTACCTTTAGAGGTATTAGTTACAAAAATCTTTCATATATCTGACAGGTTTAATCTCTGCCTATAGCTGTAATTAGAAAGGTTCTCGATTGTCTGTTGGAAACTTTAAATCTCTTAGTGACTGAACATTTTTACCAAAAAGTTCTGTTTGGCTTGCAGAAATGTGGATTTTGGGGATAGCCTGATTCTGGCAAACTTTTTAATATAGACCCTTAAAATTCAAGTTTCTCTTTTTAAAAACTTTTTTCCTACTATTTTAAAGTGTAAGCCCCATTATATTACACTTCACAGTCTTGTATTTCTGTGTGACTAGCAAGCATTAGTCTTCTGAGAGTTAAGCAATGCCTTTTAGTAGGTCCCTCTGCACAGAAAGTTATTTTAATATTGTGAGATAAAGCAGAAAAAAATCTGTTTTAAATCAAAGGAAATCTGAGCTTGAAGCTCTGGTGGTTCTTCTCAGCACTGGCTGCAGCCCATCCGTAGCAATTAGATTTGTGGTGATCTCAACCCAATTTTCTGCACTCTCAAAAGATTTAAGGAGTTAGTGTCCACAGCAAGTTAATTTTTCTCTTCACTAAGCACTAGAAAAAACAAAACAAAACCAGGAAACAAACAACACCCCCCAAAACCAAAAGTCCCCTGCCACTTTCCACAAAGTTTTCTTTTGTCAGGTTATTGCTATACTGTAATGATTCCTTGAATTTTCGGCCCCTCTCAGCACATTACAGTTATGACAAGATGTCAATAGAGCTTTGTGAAACGGTGATGGATTTGTGTTCTTATACCTGATCTGTCGCAGAGTTGTTCTATCAGCGATGGAGAAGTCAAACAGCATCTCATTTCCTGTGTGCAGCTTTCTGCCTTAACTAGTCCCCAGTTCTGTCTCATCACCTCAGAACTGTCTGCCATCCGTTTGGCAACATATGATTGCTACGTGGTTTACCCGCTCAATTATTCACTAGCAAGGATGTCCCTACGCTGACATCATGTTACTGACTAGCTTTAGGGCATTGTGGGCTTCTACCTGAGTGTCTCTGCTGAATGCTAAAGCAGAGGAGAATTCAAAGAGAGAGCTGACTGACCCGGGCACAAAGGAACCCAATTATCTGTGTAGCAAGCCAGCTTCGATTTGTCCTGTTGGTGCTGATGTGAAGGAAGCAAGCTGTTTCTGGGAAATCAGTTTAAAAAATGTGCTAAAGCATAGAGGACTGAGATTCACAGGAATGAGATTATACAGACGTTGGATTTATGCGGGCCGCAGCTGGCATGAAGGTGTTAAAAATGTATAAGCATGCTAAATGAAACAGAGAATGCCTGATCCAAGCTCCATTAAAGCCAGTACAATGCCATCTTGTGATTTCAGTTGGTCTTCAACCAAACCATTCAGACTTGTTTGACAAAGCATCCAAATGTTGAAAAACATGTATCTGAAAGCTGTAAGAACTATGGCCCTCCAAGTTTGAGCTGCTGTCAAGTGCTTTTGTACATTTTCTAGAAATCTGGACATAAAGTTTCTGACTTCTTGTTGTTTTTTCAGCATTCTGTGTCTAGCCCCAGTTATACCTTTTGCAAAATTTGTATTTTCCTCTAGAACAAATAGAAAGCCTTCACTTACCCTAATATTTAAGAATTTAAACAAGAATTTGGTTTGAGATGTTGGCATAGGTCCCATATAAATTCTTCTTTCTTGCTGAGTGTTACTCCATTCTTACAAACTCTGAACAGCAGTTTCAGACCTGACCATTTTTCTGCTTGTGACTGTATGTATTCATTTCCTTTTATCTTGCCTAATGTATACAGACCCTCATACTGTGGTTTTTAAAATATTTAATCTCATTGAAAGTCCTTTAGCTCATGGGGCCTTTGTGTGGCTTAAAGTATTTCTGTTCTTTACTGTAGAAAGTACTTCAGGTTTATTTTAACTTACTGCATTCCAGTGAGGAGATTTGTTTATATGAATGTTTGCTGCCAACATCTCATACCACTTCTTGTTTACAACTCATATTTTTTCTGACATAAGGAGAACATAGAATTTTGATATATTAAAAAAATATTATCCAAACGTGTGAGTAGTTTTACATTTGTAGACAGCTTTTACACGGTGTTGACTGCATTTCACTGTGAAGTGGCTTGCGTTTTTATTTGACTGATAGATTCTGATGAACATCCAACACTGAGTAAGAGAGATATGAGTGTTGCACATATGGGAAAATGAGAATTTTATTAAAGAAAATAAGAATGGAACAAGCTATTTTATTATGACAATGGAGCTCTTTCTGTCTTAAATCAGTGTTTTTGCAGGTGCAGCCTTCATCAGTCTCATTCTTTCAGCACTGGATGATGCTTTTTCTGAAAAGGCAGCTTGAACATCATCCTTCATAAGTGTCAGAGTCGTGGCAAAGTCTTTGAGTCAAGGCTTGAAAGTTTTCATATCTGTAAAAATGGACCATAGTCAGCTAGCTCCTTCTTGGCTCTGCCTAATTCCTTGACAATGATAGAAATTTCTAATAATCCAAGAAGACCTTATTAGTTTATATCTACGTGCATGCCTTGAATTATAGAGTTCATGATGATAGGATAGAATTATGGAGCAGATAGCAGTATTAGTTTACGTCAGTAGTATGCAGTCACTGTAACAATGCATTACTTCTCCTGTGCTTAGGGACAACCCCTCTTTTCCCAGTCTTCCTCACCTACACATCCACTAAAGAAGTGCTAAAGCTCTTTGATTTTGCTCTTCCATGCCTGGTTGCCATCTTTTCCAGGAATTCTGGATGTCCCGAGTTGATGCTAATTTCTATAACAGCATAGATTGTTTCAGCAAGGTGATCTATCCTTTCTCACATATCAGCGTGGCTTTGAACTTAAGTTTGCTTGTTTATCGTAATGTCACAACTCCATTGAAAAGCTTTCCAAATGTAACCTATTTATTTTTTTTTAGATTTTTTATTAAATGAGGTGCCTCTGAATTACAATTTGAACCATTGTCACATATAAAAATCCATCCAAATTTCTGTTTCATGTAACATAGTATTAAAATACTCTTCAACATTTTTTGTGGGTCTTCATGCTTGTTTGACTTAGCGATTTGATCTCAAGAATGACAAAATAGGTACCTCTCAGGAAATTAAAAGTATGTATGATATTTTATTAAAATCCTAACTCTTAATCCCAGGTTAATGTAATGGGAAATTGTTACTAAGCACAGTTTACCTATATTCTTTGACTCCATCAGGCTGAAATACGTAAGATGAAGAACCAGACTCTGGAAACCAAACACTTTGTAGAAAATCAGAAGGCAGAAGAGCAGAAACTCCTAAAAATCATTGCTGAAGCTGAAGCTGAGAGACTGAAGCAGAAGAAAGAATATGACCACGTAGGAATCTCTAATTTGGCTTTTCAAACACACTGCATTCTGTTCCCTTGTTTGTCCAGTGTATTTTTAAGATCAAGATCCTCAGCTACTCTAAATGTGGTACTCCTAAAGCTTTATAGTGTCACTGAAACAAAAATGAAGTGAATGGAATACGTAGCTTATACTATTCAGGTGGCTGAACCTTGGGAAAACTATAAGGCCTTTGCCATATTTCTTTCACTAATAACACTGAAACTTCTTAATGCACGTGATTTTGACTGATGCAAATATAGTCACAATACTTTGGGATTTTGTCTGGAAAGTGTAATTGACATTATTATTGCTTTGCCCTACGTCCATAGGTGATCAACGAGAGAGATGTCCTAGGGTCCCAGCTTGTTCGGCGCAATGATGAATTGGCTCTGCTCTATGAAAAGATAAAAATCCAGCAGTCCATCTTAAACAAGGGTGAAAACCAATACCGACAGAAAATGGAAGACATCCGACTTCTCAAGCTGGAGATCAAAAAACTTCGGCGTGAGAAAGGGATACTTGGCAAGAGTGTGGCTAATGTGAAGGAGCTCAGGTAGAAAACCTTATTGAATGCATTTCCATAGTGACTGCATCGATGATTGTGTGTTTGAGACAGAAACTATGTTTTATGTATGGTAAAGATTTGTATCAACAACCAATATAACCTGGAGAAGGGGATTTTTTGACTTGACCTCAAACACAAGACTGGATTAAATTCATGAAACATCTTATCAGCAATCAAGAAATTAAAGTTTAAGAAGAAGGAAAGAGGAAAAAAAAGATATCTTGGCCGAAGTTGAAATAGTTTCTCTATTTCCCCTTGTAGTGTGAAAATAAACTTGACAGACAGCAGCAGAGAAGTTGTTTGTAGTTCAGTGAGCTACTTAGTGATACCCAAGGCCCAAATTAGTGGAACTGCTTTTTATTAGGCAATCCACAGAGGATGAGGAACATTTGTCGTCTTTATAACAAACCTGTGCATATTTTCAGAGCGCTCTCCTTGCAGATTTATATGTAGACTTGCTCTCTGAGAAAGATTTAGTTAAATTTCTATGGAAGATTGTGTTTCTTTAAAACAGAAGTTTTATAGCCCCAGCCTGATTTATTTCCTCCTTTGCTGACTTAATGCTTCACTTTATTTTTTTTAACCCTCCAATATTTGAGGTGTATTCTTTGCTGATGGGAAACTATTGTCATTTTCTATAGAATCAGTCTTAGTTTGTAAGGAGAGGCAGCTATGATTTTAGCAGATAACTGTCGTACTACTACTATGTAGCTACCATAGTTTTGGGTGAGATCTTTAGCTTAACTATATCAGTATAATTCCATGGCTTTCACTGGACCAAATTAACTTCAGTCTATGGGGAGTCCCATTGACTCCAGTGGAATTATGCCAGTTTGATTTGGTGTAACAGAAAAGAGAACCAGGCCCAAAACATTAGCAATTGCGGTTCTCATCGACTGACTGCAGACAGGAATAGGATTTGAACTTACTGCCCAAATGCATTCAGCTGAAAGTCTGTTACTGTATTGAAACTCAGTGATGGTATTGAAGTATAGTGTGATGCATGTCATGATGGGTGGATCAATTCTTGCTAAGTGCAGCAGAAATCATATACTTTAATGAAGTCCAAAACCATCATGAAAACTGCCTGTCGAAAGACTCCATTTATCACTTGTGCTGCTAATTAGCTTTCTTGATTTACCAATTGGAAATGTGGGTTGTTTTTTTTTTCCTTTTCCATAACCTTGTCCAACCTAGCAGTTTAAAAAAAGGCCTTTTTCTCTCTACTGAGCTAACTGCAACTCTGGGCTTAGCTGGAAAAGATTAAGTGGAGGAGAAGGCACATGGTGATCCTCCACCCCCTTTCTCCTTGGAGAACTTACAGGATCCACTCACCAAAATGATAAAGTTTGGACCATTGCAGAATATGCCTTTTTTATCTGACCCTTGACCCCCCTTTATCTCCACCATAGGAACATAAGTTTTCAAAGCATTTTGGGAGTGCCCAGTTAATTTTAAATTCAGCAACAAATCACCCCTGAAATTTCTTGAGGAGAGGTAGTAAAAGAAATCAAACTTGGGCTCTCTAAAGAATAGTGTCTGTCATACTTACGAACTAGAGTGTGTTTTATTTACTGGATTGTGTGAGCCATGTAGATTTAAAATCTTCTTTCAAACACAAGCTGTCTGATTCAATACAGGGATAACTGAGCATGACTCCATAACTGATTTGTAGTTTACTTGAAATGAATTAACTGTCCTTCTGGCCTTCATGTACATAGGAAGATGTAGACAGTGAGATCCAGTAGGCTGTGGAGTAGATGCCCCAGGAACTGGTGAAAACTCCCTTTTTTGAGCCATTCTTACTAAAGCAAGTGAAGAGCTCTAACTGTGTTATCTTATGGTTCTACCTGTACAGTGGTATCAATGATGACCATTAATCACAAGAGTCACTTTGCTGGTGGTGTAGTGCATGTGAGAATGGTTTGTTGATGTTTATTAGTGCCTTGGTCACATTGATATGGTTTGATGTGTTTTTCTTCTTATTGTTTTGTGCTGGTTTCTTAAGAGAGGAGGTTCATCACATGCAGAAAGAACTATTAAGAGAACAGACTTGGTGCAAACTTTTGGAAGAAGAACTGGAGAAGCCCTTGAATGTTCACAGATGGAGAAAATTAGAGGTGATGTCTCAGCATTTCAAGTTCCCAAAGCTTATATTATCCAATCACTGACACAGCACAAAGCCTATTTAGTTTACTGTTATGCAAGTTATGTGAAGGGGCAGACAGACTGAAATTTCCATAGTACCAGTGGAATGGGTAACTGCTGAATGGTTTCCTTGCACAATGCAATCAGTGTTATTTTTGTGTCACTTTCTCAATGAACAATAGCAGAGTGGTTTGTAAAGAGCCAGACAAATGCTAAAAGGAATAAGAATGCATAAGGTGAATTTAAAAAGAGGTGATTCCTTAACATGGATGATGAGAAAGAGGTTGATACAGAGAAGATACAATCCCATCCTCACCAATTAGAGATGTATATGGGAAGAAAGCCAGAATTGGAAAGGGTTATGAAACAAGTAGACTGGGGATGGACAGACATGAATTCAGATGGTAAATTACATCTGTGAGAAAAGAAAGAGACCTCCTCATAAACAGTGGTGGGCTCCCAAAGAGGAGGTACTTCCAAGTAGTGTAAATTCAACTGTTACGTAAACAGCAAAACTAAATTTTCACACTATTCCAACTCACAAAATGAAGACAAAAAAATAATCTGTCAAGTACAGACCAAATATATGAACGTCAATTGGCATCACTGGATATTTTTGAAGTAAGAGCCAGCTGAGATTTCTCTGTTGCATGGATCTCTGAACTGATGCCAGCCTAGGTTGCTTAACTGCTCTAATAATAAGTGGTAATGTGGTAGTCCCTAAAGATGCAGAGCTGAATATTTTGGCTATGTTTACTAGCATGATAGTTAATTGCTGATCTTTCCATGCTGAGCTTAAAGCTGAATGATGTGCTTAGCTTTTGTCATGGAAGGGAGATAAAGTAAAGGATGTTGAACTAGGTTAAACACATCTAGGTACAATCTCCAACAACACCTAGTAACAAAGCGAAATCAGGCCAGTCAAAACACCTGGTGTTGGGAAAATGAATGTATGAATAGACTGATAATAGGAAATGACGTGTTTCCATTCTAGGTCACTGGTTTCTGCTTGGAACACAGGAAAGCCAGCAGATGGCAAGAGCTGTATGAAATAATCCTGATAGGGTTTTGATTCAGTTTCTAATGAACAAACACCCGCATATCACTACACTTGTCACAAATTGGCATCAGGTCTGGGCAATGTTATAAAAATTTCAAGGTCTGAGCGGGTCATGGGGACTGAACTACTTTTTAGCCTGGTTTCTCAGTTTTCTCAGGAAATGGTGTTGTGTTGAGCAACTATGTTAGTGTCCCTGTTACACTTGAATTGATTAGTCAAGTTAGATAAAATCAGACCAAGGATTAAGATCCATGAGATACCAAGTTCCTTATAAGCTCAAGCAAATATGCATAGAGTGAGACTTTATTGAAGACTTTACTGCAGTGTGAGTTTAATCCTTATGAGCCACCAGAGACACCACATGAGAGGAGAAACCATGTGGGAGAGAAGTGTTGTGAATGCAAGTGAGGAAAAGCTTCAGTTGAAGTTTGCAGGATCCAACAAGAAGATACAAAGTGGTGGGAAAGCAAGCTTTGCTGGCTGCTCCTCACAGAATTACTTGTTTGCTCCATAGAGCTTCCTCCAGATGCAATCTGTGACAAAAGAATGAAAAGGGAAGAAGAAGAGACATCTACTAGGTCCTGGTCTTAACTTCTCAACCTGTTTAAAACCACTGTATTACAGTTACCCTTTCTTTTGTTCAAGAGAAAAGTCTTCCTCTCCCTAAAACTCAATTGACACTGTTTGAAGTTCTTAAAACAGTGGGAAGTACTTGCACTGCTCTTCATATTTCAGTGGGCAATTTCAGTTTCTGCTAAAAATGATACACTAACCTCCTTTTCCTTCCCTGCCACAAGGTTCTACCAATCTTTGTTGGTTTGAGGGTTAAGCTCTGAAGGACTCTTATTTATATTAGTTGTTTTGAGGAGGATTGATGAAGTTAACAGTATTAAGCCTGAACATGTTCCATTTGATATCAAGAGGCAGAGATTCCAGTTTCAGGACTGCTTGTATAAATGCCGTTTAAAAAACCCTGTCACTGCACTCCCCTCTCCCCTCCCCCTTGCTTTTTATATTTGTCACTTTTGGACACTTAGCTATTATGGTTTTCATTTGCAAGTAAGAGACACTGGCTTATTGTAATGTATAATTTTTGAGATGGCTTTGCTCTTGTCTAGGCCTGTGACCCAAGTACCTATGAGCTGATTGAGAAAGTACACAGACTACAGAAGCAGCTTATCAGCAAGACAGATGAAGTGATAGAGAAAGAATTGCTCCTTCAGGTACAGCAGCATCATTATTTTATTGTGTTTTATTAACATATTTGACTTGCCCTGCATTCTCTGTCTGCTCAGATGTGCTTCCTAAATGTTATTTAGATGCGTGACTTTGAATTTCTTATGCATGCCCCTTAGATAGCTTTAGATGGCAGCACTGACTCACTGAAAGAGAACAAATAGCTTCTGATTAGTGTATTTTTATATCCTGGATACTGATACCTGGACAACTCTGGAAAATAAAATTAAATGTTTGCTTTAGTTTATTCATGTCATAGATTAATCTTCAAGTCAGTGCTAGACTTTTGGAAAGGCTTTTTTGTCCTCTTAAACATGCCTATTATGATCAAGACATTAAAGAAAATCCTTGTTTGGTTCCATTTGTGCTTAGCTTGGCTTTTGGCAGAAGGAGTTTTTGTGATTTAGATATGTTGCTGTCTGACCCATGTTTGACTTCAAGATCTTTGTGTTGGACTTTGCCAAAAAGTAATTTTTGTGATAGCTTATCTTTTTTTTACCATATCAGACATCCCTTAACCTCAGTGATACCAACAAGAATTATGTTATAGAATCAAGGAGAGACTATATTCCTGTAGCACAAATGTTGCTATCAAATACAACAAAAAATTACTGTCTCTGGGCTTCAAATATAGGTGCAAAACTGGGAAATCTGTCTGTTTCTCTCTGGTAACTGTAGGGATAGCTACAGTTTGCCAGGCCTAGGTATGATTTTAACATCTTGGTCTTAAATACCCTAATAGTCTTGATACCTATGTTGGATATCACTCAATGGAGAGTAGAATGTGACCTGAAGCTCGTTCTGTCTTGAGAAGCTCAGCAGATGTTATCAAGGCAGAATTTGCCACTCTTTCTTTATTGTTCCATAGGAAAAAAACATCTGCAATTTCATTTGAAGGTAACTTATGGTGTATTTTGCCTTTGCTTGGAAAAATGTAATCTTTGTTGCATAGCACTGAAATGCTGTCAGTGAAATGTTTTATTAGCTTTAACAAAACATAGCAAAAATAGCTTCAGATTTGCTGTGCTTTACCCATGCACAAACCCATTTCTGTTATATTTTGACATAGTCTCTATTGCGTATCTTGCCTTATAGTTAGTGTGCTCCCATGTAGCTATTATCCTTATTTAGAAGTGAAGAACTGAGATATAGAGCTACTACATTGCCTGTCTAAGAAAAGCTTAGAAATAGTAGGTATTTGTTACTATGTTACTGTACTAGCCATTGGCACAATCTTTATGTCTATGCAACAGCTCTTCTGTGGAAAGTCTCCATGTTTTAAAACTATTTTTCCTAAATTTAAGTCAGAGTTTGACTATATGAAATTTAATTATATCTAGAATTGTTAATGAGATCCTTTGTATCCTTTATTCGGGCACCAATTTCCTGTGCAACAATGCTGAAATGAAGGTCTCCCTCAGTGAGATGGATGGTAAAGAAAAGGCCATATCACACTCCACGTTCTCTTTTCAGGGCTTCAGCATCAACATTTTTGAGCTTTTGTCTGGTTTACCACCGCATTTTTGAGACCTCCAGAATGACCGCAACAGGGCTTTTTCACAGCAGGGCATAGGTGAGGAGAAGTAACCAAAGATGGAGGACATCCCCCAGCTCATTTCCTCAAAGGGCTGTGTGTCCTGTTCATTGGTGCAGGGCTCACAAGCTAAGTGTACGAGCTAAGCCTCCTCTGCTGAGTGTCGGGATAACCTTGTTAGGAGTCATTTTATTGTTCTTTGGACTGGTTTTCCTGTATACATGTAACAAGCTATGATGACAATACCCATTTTGTGAAGTGCTCTGATATAGTCACTAAAGCAAAACGCTCACCAATAACTTATGAACTGATGCTATCACGTTCCAAACTCCTCTGGTGAAGGAATGAGCCTGAGCAACACCTCCAGCAGCAGGAAATGAACAGAGAGCAGTGATGGTAACTTTCTGGAGGGAGCTGAGCTGCGTGCAGCAGGAAGGTTGCTTCACCATGCTCCCTTCTGGGCAGTGTATCCTTATTTAGGAGAGAGTATAGGGGTTTAATCCTGACTGGAATTTACCATTATGAGAAACAGCAGCAACTTAGCTCCCATTTCTGGATTTTAAATTTTTTATCTCCTCAATATCATTTATATTGCTTAGTGAGTTTGCTGTCTAGTCAATGTAACAGCCAGTGAACAAGGCACTGCTCTCCCATAAGGTCTGATCATTCCTCTTTCTCTCTTTTTTTTTCTTCTTCTTTTTAAAAATCCTGGTAAATCCCCTCCTGCTTAAAGGCATTCAACATCTTTTTTTTATGGGTCTCTCTTGGAAGTCAGCTCTGTTCAGTTCACTCAGTTTCTGCTCATTTGCAGGATCAGGGGAATTGCTGATGACTTGGTCTGTGCCTGGTTGGCTAAACATCCCGTGTATTCAGAATCAAAGGCTGCAGGAGCTGGGGGATACAAACTTACTACTTTTCCCCATGTTGAGTTTGCTTGCATAAGTCACACCTTTGCACTCTCAGGCCTTATCCACGTCTTTTCCTGTGACAAGGGCATAGCGATTGTGTGTATCTGCTTTAAAATTATCTTAATCTCTTTCTTGCCATACATACCCATTTTTATGTGTGTGTGGCCATCATACTAGCAAATAAGATATTTGCTGAAGGTGGGGCTTGCGAGCGTCTGTGTCGATGATGTCTGAGGCTGCATATTATGTAACTTAGATTCCCTCACATCAAAGTTTAGTAATAAAATCGAGTGCAAAAACCTTCATGGATTGAATATTGAGTGCTGAAAACACCTTTGGAATTCAGAAATAACCTACGTCTGGAAATGGTTGAGGTCAGCAACCTTCAGTTTGATTTGTAGGATGCTCACCTTGCTGCATCCTCATACAGAGCCATAATGTTTCAATGAGGAAAAAATAATTCCATTTGTGTTGTGTGCACTGTAGTTCTGTCTTCTGATTGTTACTTTTTTTTTTCTTTTGCAAATGGTCTTTTAAATAGAAGCTGTTTTATGCAAGGAACTGTGTTTCAGGATGAGCTGGATATGTAAGTGGAAATTTTTGCTAAGTAGGGATCACACTGTATGGATTCATGTAGAAAAGCATCTGCTTACTTTACCTGCTCCTGATGTGTATTTGATCCTATCCTTTTTAATTAGCTTTTTCACTATTTCTCACCTGTTAGTTCTTTAAAAATGATGCAGCTGTAAAAGAACACTACAATCCATGCTACGTGATTGAAAAAATGAATCGTTATGTTTCAGTCAGAAAATTTTGATTGCTGGCAGTACAAGAACAACCCAGTTTGACTCTTAAATCCCATACAAAAATATCTTTCTTAATCTGTCAGCAGGGCACAGTTCTTGTACCAGACATTTACTGAGAGGGATTGAATATGCAACATGACAAATGCTGGGTTTTTTTAGAATGACTTTTCAGAGTTGAACACTTTAATAAAGGTTTAGAAAGATGTCCCATGTTATAGAAATTATTAAACTCTTTTCTTGTTTCTGATTTATCTGTGCCCTGTAGACACAGCACATTGGGTTATAACCTGTTAGCTCACACAGACCAAGTAAGGGTGGACATCCTGAGACTTTGAAGAGTAGCTGCAAAGCAGGTGATCAAACTTTATCCATTAACTCAGGCATTCTCACAGTTGTGAGCTGCTGTGCTGATGAAAAATGCTGTCTTAAAAATCAGATCCAAAACCGAGGTCGTAAATACATATGGTCAATAAAAATCCAATGGCATTTTTGACAAACATAGGAGATGTTACTTCAGGGTTTGCCAACTTCCATGTTTGAGCCATTACCTTACTTCTGAATTTGTGTGGTTGAAAGACACAGCATTTTTTGGTTCTTTTCTAAGCTATTGAATAATGCTGCAGGGCTTTGTGGAGAAATACGTTGTGTGTTAACCAAAGGATTTCAATGACGGGTGAAGGTCTTTGTGAACACATGTGGTATGAGCAAAATGTGTTGTATAGCCATAAGGTATAATTATTAATAAACAGAAGTGATCTACTGAGCAAATCCTGACTGCAAAAAAACCAACCAAACATGCTCACTTTGTGTATAGGGTGACTGAAGCTGACTGAAGCTCTACTGCGTACTGAACGGTGATACGGTAAACTCACAATGTAATGTATTACCTTGTTAGGATTATGATTAGTGTGGTTTTAGGAAACTATCCCATTAAAAGTGAATTATGCACTGCTTTATTTGTTTCAAATTTAGTTCTTTCTCTTCAGAGTGAACGCCTCTAATTTGATTTTATGTCTGACTGAGCGGAATTTTATTCAGCTGCACATCTTGGAATGGATAACAGGGGAAGATTCACATTATATGTCAGTTACCTCTGTTGTCAGTCATCTCAGAAGATTGGTCATAAATGCAAGAGAGAGATGTGCAACCAAGATTATTTGTGGAGAGAGGCAAAGGCAAATGTGTCTCATTTAAACTTTGAGTGTAGTAGTGAAAGTATTGTTTTTCTGCACATATGTATTTTTAATCACTGTTGTTTTACATTGTCCACAATCAAAGACCAGGACTGGGTGGACATAATATGATGCTTCCAGGCTGCTGGCATCTTGAGCTCATAGCTTCAGAGAGTGCAAGGGCAAGAGGCATGATTAGCTCATATATCTGACTCAGAGATTACAGCCAGATAACACCCACATGTCCTTGTATTGAGCCAAGTTTTGAGCTAAGTTTCATTCCCCCCAAAGAACTGATGGTCGCACTGACAGAGAGTAGGAGGAGCAGAGGGGATGCTGCTGTCTCCAGTATAAATCACCAGAGTTTCATTTCAAGTATTGTAAGATATAGGAAGGAGAAAGTAAAAGGGACTCTCCATGTGACCTTGAGCCGGTTACTTAGTTTTTGCATGCCTCACATCAAATAAAAAGGGAATAAAATTGTTTCCACTTTTATAGTGGTATGTGAATGAATATATTAGAGACATGACTCAATTCAGTAGTAACAATAGCTAGCTAAACACTCAG